ATCTTCCTTCTGAATTCCAGAAACACACCTAGTCGGCATCTCCTCTTGGGTGTTCAAAATGGCACCTCAAATTACCTTGTCCTGATCTGAAGGTATCTTCTTTCCCCAGATTTTATCCTACATGCCTTATCTTAGCAAATGATGCTACCATCTACCTAGTTCCACAAACCTGAAACCTGGATGCCTGTCTTTCTTGAATCTTCTAATTCCCTCATCCTCTGCATTTAAACATCACCGAGTTATTCAGGACAAACTCAATCTGATTCCCTCCCATCCTTTGTCTCAGGATAGCTGCCATAGTTTACAAGTCTATTCTAGCCGTGTCTTTAGATTTCTACTCCTTGTTCCCAAGTGGCTTCCATACTTTTATTTCCCTGCATAGCCCATTCTTACTCTTGCGTTTGCAGCCTTGACAACCTCTACCACCTTTTACCACAACAAGTGTCACCCCATTTCACATAGCTAATTTGTACTCATCCTTAAGGTCTTGTTTGGACATCATTTCCTTCTGGAAACTTCTCTTGACAACCCTTCCCCTCAAAACCAGTTAGGTACCAGTCTTATGTGCCCTCATAATGTTTTTCCCCATCAACGCACATTCACACTGTTTACTAGTTTGTATCCCTCAGTGGCCAGCAGTCTACTCAAGAGCAGGTATGCCTTTTTAACTATTACTCCTCTGGTACGCAGGTGTGCAATAAATGTTCCTTTGAGTAATTGTATTTCTCATGCCTTTTTATTTTACTTTCTCATGTTTTGACACTTGGACTCTTGGGAGAGTGCCTTTCAATTGTTAGCCTATGTCCTCCAACCGCCTTCTTTACCAAACTTTCACTAGCCAGGCAACATTCCTCTGCCCTAATGACTCCAGGGCCAGGTACCAAACAAACCTGCACAGCCTCTATATCCCCAAACCCGCTGAAATTATGCAAATTCGCCAATCATAAATTCGCCCTGCCTCTCCCATTCCTTCCTGCAAAAACCACAATCATGTCTCTTACCCATGCTTCCCCTGGCTCCCTCTGCCCCCTGACCCACCCTGGTGCTTCCCGGTGTGGGCTTACACTGCTTGCAGTTTAGAATTGATTTGATATGAAAAGTCTTGTGCATTTAACATGAACTGCCAAGATAAGTGGCGGAAAGAAAACTGTGTTAGGATGGTGGGTATACGGGTTTTTCCGGACTTCTATAACAACATCAACTAGCACACCTTAATGCCCACTGTGAAACAAAAGCCTCGGCGAAAATGGGGCTGGAACAGCGGAAGTAACAACTTGGTTCTCGGCCGCATCTCCCCGCTCCAGTGGGCCCTTTGATGCTGGGCTGGCTTTGCGCAGCCGCACTTCGTTAGACGCGGAACCCTTGTGAGTGGTTTCAACGTTTTCCAGTCGGCAGTGAAAGCGCACTTCCGGCCTTCACGGAAGTTGTTGCACAGTCGTTTCCGAGGCTGTGTGCGGTAGAGGAGCCTTCCAAATGGGTCGTAGCCGCTCCCGATCTCCGCGGAGGGGTGAGTCTGGAAGCAGTTCGGAGGGTCTGGGGCTCGGTTAGAGGCGCTTCCTATTCCCCCCTATTTCTACGCGAGGGCCGCGGAGATGCACGCCCTTTACTCCTGAGAAGGAGACAAGCGGGGTGTCTGTGTGGATGGGGGAACGAAGACCGCGGCGCTTCGGTTCCGAAGCAGGGTTTTTTCCCTTCTAAATTGGCGTTTCGCTCTTTATCAGCCTCCAATAGTAACTTTTGTTATTCTTGTACCTGGTAATTTAGAATCAGACCACCGTTTTTTCAGTTAATTTCTGGGTGACCGTATGTAAGCCATCCAACCTTTCTCAGTCCGAATTCCCATAATTAGACATTGGGGATAATATTACCTAGTTTAAAAACTGATGTGAGCAATAATGGCACTTTCCATAGCACTCAACATGTGATACTGCCTGTGTCTTAAGGCTCAAGGTAGGTTTCTCCGGTGTATTGTAATAGGGAATCGTGTGTCCTGGGAGCTCACCCCTAAGGTCTCCGGAAACCCCCCCCCACCCCCCATAAGTGAGGCAGAGCCGTGTACTCTGAATTAGACCCTCGGTTCTGCCCCTGGGTGGTTTTTACCACCTTCAACTTGTTAAGATGTGATTTTCTTTAAAGTTAAATGGGGCCGGCATCCACATATGGCTATTGAGGATCCCAGTCAGAATAAAGATGTGCCCAATCAGGATTAAGACGTGCTGTTTAATTGTAGGATACACACCGGATTTCCTTAATTTAGTACGGAAAAGGTAACATAATCTCAATACTTTCTTATGTTGAGTACTTTTTGAAATGATAATAGTTTGGAAATATATATATTTAGTCAAATAACATTTTGTTAAAACTTATTTCACCTTTTTATTTTTTTTAATGTGAATACTAGAAATGGCTTGCATTATATTCCTATGAGACAGCCCAGCTCTAAATATTTGAGGTAATTTTTGGCTCTGCAATTTTGTTCCTTGTGTTAGAACGCAGGCGGTCCCGGTCCACTTCGCGGGAGAGAGAACGCAGGCGTCGGGAAAGGTCTCGGTCCAGGGAGAGAGATCGGAGAAGGAGCCGCTCTCGATCCCCGCACAGAAGACGCTCCAGGTAAGTGCGGAACATGAGTAGAGCTTTACCACGAGTCCCAGAGAAACTAGTTGTTGCCGTTTAGTTTGTTTTTTATCACTTATAAGGCCATTTACAACAAGCATGTCAAACTCACAAGCATGTCAAACTCAAAGGCTAACACGGGCCAAATAAGGTTTAAGTTTCTGT